GTTTACAGCATGCTTCTGTCTCTGCGCTGTTGTCGCCCTGTTGATGATGTCAGCGACGCAGTTTAGTCGGGCGCGGTTTAGTCGGGCGCGGTTTTGTCGGTGAACCCTATGCAATTAATTTAGGGGAAAAGAAAAAGAAAGAAAAAGAGAAACTAGTCATACGTTTCCACGTGTGCGTGGAGTGATTGTGGTTGTGTTTAAGAGTCTGACAGCCCAAGGATAGAAACTATTTTTAAACCTATTTGTTCAGCTGGTTATGCTTTGATGTCTTCTGCCCAATGGTAGAAGTGAAACAGGACGAGAAATCAGAACAACAGAGTGGAAAGGGACCTGGGAGGTCTTCTAGTCTAACCCCCTGCTCAAACAGGAAACTCTACCCCATTTTTGTTGACAATATTGATCTTCTTGAAAACCTCCGGTGATGTAGCATCTACAACTGATTTAATTATTCTCACTGTCAGGAAATTTCTCATTTCAAGGTTGGATCTCTCTTTGATTAGTTTCCATCTTGTTCTATCTTCAAGGGGGCTTTAGAAAATAGGTTCACTTGCTCTTCTCTGTGGCAGACCCTTAGATATTGGGAATCTGTTATCATGGCACCCCTAGATCTTCTTTTCATTAAACTAGACCCAATTCCTATGCCCAAATAAACCAAGACTTATACCTAATTAAAAGGGACGCAGTGGCTCAGTGGATAAGACACTGAGCTTGTTGATCAGAAAGTTTGGCAGTTCAGCAGTTCGAATCCCTAGTGCTGCGTAACGGAGTGAGCTCCCGTTAATTGTCCCAGCTTCTGCCAACCTAGCAGTTTGAAAGCAGGTAAAACTGCAAGTAGAAAAAATAGAGGCCACCTTTGGTGGGAAGGGAACAGCGTTCCGTGTGCCTTCAGCGTTTAGTCATGCTGGCCACATGACCACGGGGAATGTCTTCGGCCAGCGCTGGCTCTTCGGCTTTGAAACGGAGATGAGCACCGCCCCCTAGAGTCAGGAATGACTAGCACATATGTGGCAAGGGGAACCTTTACCTTATACCCAATCATTCTTCATATGTTTTAGCCTCCACTCCCCTATTCCATTCATGTTGTTAGCCTTTCAAAATGGGCAGAGTCACATGTCCTTCCTAGCCTTTCACTGGGCTCCTGGAGAACATTTTTTGAGATGGACTAATTGGGGGGAGGGGGGGGCTCTTACCTTTTTGTCACCAGATGGCGATCTTTCATTTCCGAACGCTCAAACCAGACGTGAGGAGAGGCCTTAACTGTGGCTCTTTGAATGACACCCATCAAACCACCATGAGCCTGTCCAACCTGGAAATTCATCCATACCAAACATAAACAAACAGGAACAAATAAATAAAAAAGGCAATTACTGTATTTTTCAGACTATAAGACGCACCGGTGTAGAAGCCGCACCAAGATTTCAAAGAGGTAAGAACAAAAAGTTTTCATCCTCCCCAGCCCCCAGAAGTACTCTGCAAGCTTCAGCAGGGATGGGGGAAGGGAAAACGCCCCCATTTTTGTGAAAAATGGGCAAAAAAAGGGGGCATTATTGCCTTCCCCCAGCCCTGCTGAAGCCTACAGAGTGCTTCTGGGGGCTGGGGGAAGGCAAAAACGCTTCCGTTTTTGTGGAAAACGTCCCGTTTTTCACCCATTTTTCACAAAAACGGGATGCGCAGGCAGGGCTTCAGGAGGCCAAAAATGGCTGTTTTCAGTGTATAAGACACACCAACATTTCCACACTCTTTTAAGGGGGGGTGCATCTTATACTCTGAAAAATACGGTAAATAGCACACCTTTCTTCAACTCCTTAAGAAGTTACAGCTGCATTCCAGGTAGCCTTCAATTTACAAGCCTTCATTTAGTCACCGGTCAATGTTAGAACACTGAAAAAAGTGACGCATGATTATTTTTCATACTTAACAACCATTCCAGCCTCGCCATGGTCACGTGATCAAATTTGGACGCTTGGTAACCGGAATATATTCATGACAGTTGCAAACGTCCCGGAATCATGAGGTTACTTTTTGTGACGATCTCAAAAGCAAATTCAATGGGGAGACCAGATTCACTTACACAATTGTATTACTAACTTAACAACTTCAGTGATTCATTTAAGAATTCTGGCGGAGACCAGCTGCGCATGTGTTTAAATATTTTCAGGGAGGACTTATTTTCGGGGGAGCGCATGTACTCAAAAGCCCGATTGGGCTTATTATCCGGGGAGGTCTTATTTTGGGGAAAACAGGGTAGAACGCAACTGATTAATCTGTTCACCGCTTTCAATGATGGAATCCTTAGCATTTGCATATAGTGTTCCAAGAGCTAATTAAATTCTACACTCCTTACAACTGATGCGACCACTTCAATTTATTTTGTATAAAATATTAAACTGTAATCTATTAAGGGAAGTTTGAACGACTTGCGAAGCATGCTGGCAATTGCTACATAAAATTAATAAAGGGTCAAATATTTCGACCCAAAGTGGCCAGCAAACAGACAACACAAAATGGTATATTTTATATCATTGCTACTTTTCCTTTACATCATTTCTCTTTTCCCCAAATGTTCACTTCAATTCGGGGTAAGAAATTCTGCACAGTTCTTGGAACCCAGGAAATGATTAAGAGATGTCGATTTTCTATTAAGTGTGCAGTGACAAAATTCTCAAGCTATTGTGACATACCATTGCGTAACAGCCATCATTTGTCAAGATTATAACATCTATCGGAGATGTGTGATTTGCTACACAAATTCCACCTTTTTGGGGTCGGTTCTCCCTGCAATAAAAGGACATGTGATTCGCAACATTGTAGTAAAACAGCCATCCCATAATCCCTCTACATTTGAGGATTCCACTGCTATTGCTGGTTTAAAAAAGACTTTTTGGGCAAAAAGCGGCACATGCTTCCAGTTTTGGGCAAAACTGCACCCATAGTAAACCACTGATTCGGTTAATGGTTGCGGCTTTCACTTAACAACAGCTTTGCTTAACAACCAAGGTGACATGGTTAACGACTACTGTACAAAAAGGTCATCAAATTGAGTCGGTAGTGTTAATGATCCAATTTATGACTGTCACAAGTTACGATTGCAATTGGGCAGGCTTGAGGGCTGTCTAGCGAGACAGAATCAGTGGACAGGTGTCACCCTCATTCCATTGTAACTTCACACGAGAATCCTCTGCAGAGGGCCAGGAGATGCTAAAATACACCTGAGCCCCTACAACAGGGGTGTCAAACACAAGGCCCGCAGGCCAGATCCGGCCCACAATGTGGTCGGATTCGGCCCACAGGGCCGTCCTGGAAAATGTAAGGGGCCGGTCCGCATTGCTTCAGCCCGGTCTACCCAGTGCGAAGAATAAACATATCAGTAGTTTGGTGAGTGGCATCGAGCTGGCCATGCCCACCCAGTCAGCCATGCCCAGTGAATGGCGTCAAGCTGGCCACACCCACCCAGTCGGCCATGCCCACCCGAGGTCAACCACAGCCCTGATGCGGCCCTCAATGAATTTGCGTTTTAACACCCCTTGCTCTACAATAGGCAAAGGAATAGAGAGTTAACAGATCAACAGGAAAAGGAATTCGTGCAATTGGAACATCCCCATGATTACAAATTGCAGCATTTGTTTATATATTAAATTTATAGGCCCCTAAATCCTATTGACTGGGCCACAGCTCAAAGATAACAACTCTTTTTTTCCCCAGAGTTCTTTTTCCAGTATCATCAAGGTTAAGATAGTCAAAATAGGAAGACTTTAGGTTTGAGAAATGGTCCACTCAGTGTCCACTTGCTCACAGTCACCCAGGCAGCTCTCATGCATAAGGCAGGACTAGAACTCCCAGTCTCCTGGTTTCTAGGCCAGCGCCTTAACCAGGATCCCTCAACTATACGAATGCAGTCCAATTGCGTAATATGTGGGTTCGGTTTAAATCAACAACAGAGCAAGAGAACTTAGCTAATTGCAGCGCCTATGTGCTTCTGCTCACCTGTTGTGATAACGAATACTTCCTGAGAGGGCCCGGACAAGGATTCGGCAGCAGGTGAGATGGACAAGATCACTCAGCCAGTCTTTGGTTCTGCAAAACAGAACATCAAGCGGTTTAGAAATTCTCTTCATCAGAGGATTCTCCAAACCACAAATTAAGTTCACCATCTAAGTAACAAGGGAGAAGCCCAGATGTTATCAACTATTACAGAAGAAGGGCAGCCCAGGCCTGAAAGAATCCTAAAATGGTGTGTGTGTATGTGCGTGTGCGTCTGTGTGTGTGTATTAAGACTCGTGGTGTCTTAGCAGGTGCAAAGGATGGTAAACAAAGCATTCTAAACTATACCTTATAACCTTCCAAATGGGATAATAATAATATAAGAATGGCAAAGAAAAAGAATAGTTATGTGAATATATATATATCTATAATCTGTACGTAAGAGAACAAATGACAGTAAAAATACATAGCATAATATAGGTAAATAATATCTGGTCATAAGTAGCTAAG